TCTCTGGAGATGCTCACTCTTGGAATCCAGACATCATGCTGTAAAAGCATGCAACCAAACACAGAGGCCACACGTAGGTGTTCTGCAGCTGAGATCCCAGCTGACCACCAGAATCAACAGTCAGACATGTAAGTGAACAAGTCTTCAGATGATTCCAGCCTCCAGCCACTGCGTCACCAATGCTGCAAGGAAAAGAGACAGGTTTTCCTAATGAGCCCTACCCAAATTGCAATTTGTGAGCAAAATAAATGACTATTAATGTTGTCAGCCACTAAGTTTAGGGTTGTTTGTTATGTAGCAATAAATAACCAGACAAATACTGATGACATCATGGGTGGATTCTAGGAAGCATCTCAAGTAACGGGGGGCTAAGGCCAGAGGTTCTCCTGAGAAGTAGCCTGCTTTTTTACCCACAGCCAGTACTCTCAGGAGACTTTCCCTATCTGCTAGCTCTTACCCTCTTCCTGAAATCCAGGCACAGGGTCCAGATCTGTGTCCACTTTAGCAGTGGGATCTCAAGGCCTCTCTGGATTTCACTACAATCAATGTCTCCCTCTGCACAGAAACCTGTAAATATAAGTTGAATTTACAGTTCCACTGTCAATTAGCTATGTGGGTTTTAGCTTCCTCATATGTAACATCAAGTAATTGAGCCAAATGAATCCCAAGACACCTCCAACTTTAACATTCCAAAAGAGTATCTGTTGGGCCTCCAAAGAGTTCTAATTGAGTAGGGGAAAAAAGACCCACACAAATATCCACTCTATGAGCTACTATATGATTAGTGCCATTTGGAGGCTCCAAACTCAGGATTCTAAGTGTGAATACAGAGAGTAGAGAAATCCTTCTTAGCTGGGTAGTTAAGAAAAGCACTGGGAAAGAAGTAACATCTGCATCTAGACTGGCAGAAATGCAAGTTTTGCATTAGGCAATAGTGAAGGGTAAGAGTAGAAAGAAATATCAGGGCTTTTTATGAAAGCCTTACAAGCCAGGCCAAGTTTGACCATATCCTACTTGACAATAGTTTTTGAGCAGGGAGATCCCAGGAATGTTTAGAGGGAGGTGAATGTAGTGGCACAATAAAATAATAGAAGGATCAAGAGAGCTAGGCTTGAGTTCATCCTCCCATTAGCTTTGTATTTGGGGGGAGCACCTCTTCTTTTCTATGTCTCAGCTTCCCAATCTATAAAACAAGTGGGTGAATACTGAATGAGCTCTAAGGTTATTTTCAGTTATGCTTTTCTAAAAGTCTTGGGACTGAATGGAAAGGGAGCCCAAAGTTGGTAAGACCTACTAGCAAGATACCATAAAGATTCAAATAGCACAGCAGCCTATTCTCCAACAGGCTCACTGCCCAGACATCTCATCAACTGGCCAAAAATAGTTATCATCTTCCACAGAACAGGCATTGTTCCAAGCTCAAAGGAGAAGGAAAGAAGTCAATCAAAGTCCTTGACCTCCAAGAAGTCTACATTTTTATAGGCACCCAGGTTTCTTGCACCTACATCCAGAGGCAAGGTTCCCAAACACAATACCGACTGCCCATATTTCCATGTGGCAACAACCGGGTGCTGGAGGTTCACAGTGCAGAAGCTGTTAAGGTAATCGGCAGGCATAACAAGTCTCCTGAGAACACCCCCTGCTGCCTGCCAGGCCTTACAACGAAAGTGAAATTCCCGGAAGGCAACAAGTAGCAAACAAAGTTCACCCCACACAGGTGGCTGAATTCGCTTTACACACAACACTTCCTTGTTTGCAAGTCACCACTCTGCTTCTAGTCCCACCCCAGGTCATCAACACCAGCATCATGAAGCCTGGCCTCCGAGATCCAGGGGACCTTTGAGACTCCCACCTCCCACTCCCAGAAATGAATACGAGCTAGAGTGGGAACAACCTGTGGGAGGGTGTATCTGGCAGCTAAGGGTGAAACAGTGTGCCTCTCCTGCCCCATCAACAAAGAGAAAGGGAAACCTGCTCCAAGAGACCAAAACATAGCAAAGAACAAAACGTTGGTGGTCAAATGAAAAGGCTTAGATTTCTTCCTCCTGTGTATCCTGCCAATGAACACTGGGCTGCAGAAGAAAAGGAAGGAAATAAATAAGCAAAACACCCACCCCCACCCCCCCACACACAAATAGAATGGAGTCCAGGATCCTTAACCCATATTGGCTCAAGTGAAATCTCATTCAAATTAAGGGCACAAACTTGCAAATACCTATCCTGACAGTTCCACAGGGTCCCATCCCACCTTTCCCACCTTTCCGTGCCTCAGAGTACCTTCTACCCCCAAAGTGAGATACAAATGCCTCCTAGTACCACTGGATTCCTCTGCCTCCATGTGGATGATGTGGAGGTCCCCAAAGCAGTCAGGGAGTCAAACACCTAGCTTTCCCAAGCCCTAGTACCCTCATACTTCCCAACCAAAGTTCCCATCACACCAAGGAGTCTTTTCCCACTGAGACCCCTGGGCTAGCAATGATAAAAAGGGCCTTGGGTCACTGCTAAACATCTATTGAAAGGTCAGACTAAGAAATTCAGGTGCCAAGGTCATCAATCCAAGTTGTAAATGCCTTGACGAAAGAGAATGGGTCATTCTTCTTTGTCCCCCATTGTCTACCACAGAGCCTGGCACCTGAGAGCAAAGCCCTCAGAGTTCATCGACAATGACTTCCTAAATGAGCTGGTGATTTAGTGCCCTACTCAGCCCAAAGAATACCCCCTAGAAATGGCTGCGGGTGAAGACAGCCAGAGAAACCACCAGATGACAATTTCAAAATAGCACCCACAGTCCAAGTGGTAGCCTCTGAGAGAAGGATACAGCCAGCCACAGAGGCCTGTGACTCCATGCTAAAAGCCCAGGAAAGGAGGGAGGAAGGGAAGCAGAAATATGACAGTAAAGAAAGGAAGTGAACACTTAGAGGGGAGGCTGGAAGAATTCTTTTTTTAGGCACATCCGACGCTCAGATATTTACAAACATCATCTATCATGTTATGATGGCAAGCATGCTAGGAAGTTCAAGGAAGAGCAATTTCTAAAAATATTTAAAACATGTAGGTATATATTTTCCAAACAGAAACAGGTACCTGTCTGTCAGTGGCCCAGATTCTGCCTTGTGACTTGCTGTAAAACCTCCATCTCCCATTCCATCCCCCACATAGTAGAAATTGGAAGAAAAAAAATGAATATTTAAAGGAGTTGAAGGCTGCTGGTATGGTAATTTCTAATGCAGGTCTTAAATACACTATTTCTTTAAAATTAAGAATAAAACTATACAATCACAAATAATGCTTATTTTACTGCTACAGTCTCATATTAAAAAAAAAAAAATGGGAATCTTAGTTCCCAGTCTCCATCTGCCAACTCAGTCTCAGTGACACATGCCACCAGACCAGTGAGAGCCCAGCAAAGAGGTTCCCCAGAAGCAGACAATGGGAGATAAAGACTCTAATATCTAGATCTGCTTCTGCTGTGGCCACCAACATGCCCTGGGAGAGTTCAGGTTTTCTACCTGTTTTACCCAAGAAGTTGTCAGTCCCTGCCATTCTCTGGCTCACCCAGTTCAGGGACGCAAGTATGCAAGAAACTCTACCTAGGTTAGAGGAGGTGCAAGGGCAGGAGGTAGGGGCTGTTCTTGTTGGTCTTGCTGCCACAAAGTGGCTATCCAATTTGTGTGCCTAAGTTCCAGAATCTCCCAATCTCTGTCTGGTTGACACAATCCATCCAGGCCATTTCCATTGGGACCAAACCTCGAATGTGTGGTACAGGAAAACTCCTCTTGCCTCGTTCACACCAGTCACTCCTTTAGGGACGATGTGCAGTGTTCCATTCTTTCAACCATATCTTGATTCCAGTTCTGAATGAACCAAACAACTTCCGCCAGCTCTGGACAGACACCCCATCAGACTCACCCTGGCACTGCACAGCCCAGACACGCAGAGAGGAACTAGCCCTATCCCAGCCTAAGCTGAGCATCCTTCTCACAGCTATCCATTCTACTGGTTGAGGTCCCAAAAGTCAAATTTATCCACCTTAGATTCAGCAGAAGAGGCTAGAAAAGGTACATGGCTTTAATAAAAGAGCCCAGAGGTTCTTCGAGGACATCAGCATCCAGCCTCAACCAAAACTTTTGAAGCCCTGGTGAGAACAGTACATCTATCTTTCAGCTCTGGAAGCTTTCATCCCATCATAGGGAAGGAGCTAATATTTATTGAGAAGCTTTATGCCAGGCACTACACTAAGCACTGACATATATTATGTCATTTAATCCTCACAGCAACTCTGTGAGGTAAGTACTATTATTATTATTTCGTAGATGAGTAACTAAGATTTTAGAGGGCATAAGAAAGTGTCCTGAGATCTCACTATCTCAAATCCAGAGCTGGACTTGAAGCCAATTGTATATGATTTCAAAATCTGTGGTTTTTCTATTGTTCTACATTCCCACTTTTAAAAAGAAAACAAAACCAGGAAAGTGGATTATAGCTTACGCTGAGTAAAATTCCCAAGATGCTTTGTTTACAGCCCAGCCTATATTCTTGTAGAACCTGGACTTCTCTGCTTGGAACTTGTGCTAATATGCATAACTGCCTCTCCACCCCTAACCCCAATGTGGTCAACTTCCCTCACTACAGTGTAGCCTAGCTCAGGCACAGCCCCCAAGCTGTCCCCATCTTAGGAAAAAGGATACAGCCAGGAGAACGTCAGCTGGTTCTTGCTGGCTCCATTCCTGGAGCCCTAGGCTCCTTCAACAGCACAAATCAAAGTGTTTTAGGGTCCCTGTTTGTTCTCCCCTACGAACACTTATAGAGCTGAAAAATGGCATAAATATTAGAGATGGTTTTTGCTTCAGTGTCAGCATGAGCTGGGCCAGGATCATTCACCTGGCTGACCATCAGAGTCATGATGATAATCATTTACATTTTGGACCAAAGCCATATGGCTGCCCCTTGATGCCACCCTCCAGTGAGCCCCATTCCCCCATCAGTGCTCCCCTGCTCACCTGCTCAGAGTCCCCCGAGGGGCCTTAGTGCCTCCAGCTCCGTGGGTGATGCTGGAATTCTTGTTGGCAGTCATGGTCATTTCGGCTTTCTGAAAACCCAGAGCCCTGCAAAGAAGACAAGGCCTATAAGCCAAGTTTCCATGGGCAGCCAAAAGCACCTCAAACATTTCCAGATGACCTCCAAAACTGCCAAGAGGGTTTGTGTGGCGGTGGTAGGAAACACTTTCCCACATATATTTAATTCCAAGTGTTATGGCTTAGGAGGAGCCTCAAGGGACCCCTGATCTGAGTTAGGGAATGAGTCTAGGAGCTAACAGATAACTTACCACTTCACAGAAAATGACAAAACTCCATCTCCATCCTACCTCTTTTTGTTTCTTAGAAGTCCCAAACTTCTAGCATGCCATAGAGACTTTACAAATTCCATCTTATTTGCATACCTCCCAAACAACTATTTATTCAGCATTTTTCTTGAATCAACCTGAAACAGACTTGCTTGTCTCAAAATGTTTAACCTTGTTCTATACAAGTAATCATTTAGTCATTCAACAAATACAAATGTTTACTGAGCACCCATGTCCTAGGCACTGCCATCCAGCAAAGAATGAAACAAAGTCTCTGCCCTCAGGGAGCTTACATCTCAGTGGGGAGAAACAGGCAATAAACCTGCACATGTCACATATGTGTGATACATCAGTGTACATTTGTGTATAATACGTACAATACGAAGAAGAAAATGATGCAGGGTAGGTGGGGAGTAAAGAAGATATGTTATTTTATTTTATCTTATTTCACTTTTTTAAAATGTTTATTTATTTTGAGAGGGAGAGAGAGAGAGAGCGCGCGAACAGGGGAGGGGCAGAGAGAAAGGAGAGAGAGAATTCTAAGCAGGATCTGCGTTGTTAGTGCAGAGCCCAATGTGGGGGCTCCAACTCAGAAATGGTGAGATCATGACCTGACCCAAAATCAAGAGTCGGATGCTCAACGGACTGAGTCACCCAGCCCCCCACCAAGAATATCTGTTATTTAAAAAAAAATTTTTTTAATGTTTATTTATTTTTGAGAGAGAGACAGACAGACAGACAGACAGAGCATGAGCAGGGGAGGGGTAGAGAGAGAGGGAGACACAGAATCCAAAGCAGGCTCCAGGCTCTAAGCTGTCAGCACAGAGCCCAATGCAGGGCTCAAACTCACCAACCAAGAGATCATGACCTGAGCTGAAGTTGGATGCTTAACTGACTGAGTCACCCAGGTCCCCTGAAGATCTGTTATTTTAAATAAAATGTTTAGGGAAGAATATTCTGATAAAGTAACATACGAGCCAACACCATAAAATTATGAGCTATCATTTTTTTCTAACATCCATTAAGATAAAAGTAATATATGTTATGGTATTTAAGTACTGACAAAGTGAAAAATATCCATTCATGTACTGTAAAGAGTTAGCTAATATATCATTATCCTTTAGGGAACATTATTTTATGCTAAAATAATAAAAGGAAGAAAAAGGTTATAACTTAAGAGTACATCCAGATTGGAAAGGAAGAAGTAGAATTATCTCTTAGTTGCAGATGGTATAATCTTGTACACAGAAAATCCAAAGGATTCCACTAAAATACTCTTAAGCTAATATATAAAGTCAAGCAAGTTTTCAGGATACAGAGTAATATTTTTTTAAATCAATTTTACTTCTAAATAATGACAGTGAGGGATACCTGGGTGGCTCAGTCGGTTAAGTATCTGACTCTTGGGTTTTGGCTCAGGTCATGATCTCACAGTTCGTGAGTTCCAGCCCCACATTGGGCTCGGCACTAACAGTGCAGAACCTGCTTGGGATTCTCTCATGTTTGTTCTCTCTCTCCCTCTCTCTCCCTCTCTCTCTCTCTTTCTCAAAAATAAATAAACATTAAAAAAAATTTTTTAAATAAAAATAAATAAAAGACACCCATAAGTGGGGGATATTATTTGCAAATCACGTATCTGCTAAGAAGCTCGTATCCAGAATATATAAAGAATTCTTTCAATTCAATAATAAAAAGACAAATAACTCAATTAAGAAGTAGACAAAGGAAGGTGCCTGGGTGCCTCAGACAGCTAAGCATCCAACTCTTCTTTTCAGCTCAGGTTATGATCTCACAGTTTATGGGATCAAGTCCCACCTTAGGATCTGTGCTGACAGTGCGGGGCCGATTGGGATTCTCTCTCTCTCTCAAAATAAATAAACTTAAAAAAGTAAACAAAGGATTTGAATAGACATTTCTCTAAAGTTGTAAAATTTGCCAATAAGCCCATGAAACAATGTTCAACATCACTAGTCATCAGAGAAATAGAAATCAAAACTACAAGAAGGTATTGCCCTTGGGTATTGCACACCCACCAGGATGGCTATAATCAAACAGACAGATAAAAACAAATGTTACTATACAGAAAAAGCATTTGACAAAATAAAGCATCCTTTCTTGATAAAAACCCTCAAGAAAGTAGGGACAGAAGGATCTACTTCAAGTTCATAAAAGCCATATATGAAAGACTCACTGCTAATATCATCCTCAATGGGGAAAAACTGAGAGCTTTCCCCCTAAGATAAGGAACACAACAAGGATGTCTACTCTTACCACTGTTATCTAATCAGACAACACAAAGAAATAAAATGCATCCAAATCAGTAAAGAGGAAGTCTTTACTCTTCTCAGACAATGTGATACTCTATGTGGAAAACCCAAGAACTCCACCAAAAAACTGCTAGAACTTATACACGAATTCAGCAAAGTCGCAGGATATAAAATCAATGCACAGAAATCAGTTGCACTTCTATACACCAATAATGAAACAGCAGAAAGAGAAATAAAGGAATTGATCCCATTTACAATTGCACAAAACACCATAAAATACCTAGAGTAAACCTAACCAAAGAGGTAAAAAAAATCTATACACAGAAAACTATAGAAAGCTTATGAAAGATATTGAAGAAGACACACAAAAAAAGGAAAAATATTCCATGCTCATGGATTAGAAGAACAAATATTGTTAAAATGTTGATATTATCCAAAGTAATCTACATATTCAATGCAATCCCTATCAAAATAACACAAGCATTCTTCACAGAGCTAGAACAAACAATTCTAAAATTTGTATGGAACCAGAAAAGACTCCAAATAGCCAAAGTAATGTTGAAAAAGAAAACCAAAGCTGGAGGCATCATAATTCTGGACTTCAAGGTGTATTACAAAGCTGTAATCATCACGACAGTGTGGCACAAAACAAACACATAGATCAATGGAACAGAATAGAGAACCCAGAAATGGACCCACAAACGTATGGCCGACTAATCTCTGACAAAGCAGGAAAGAATATCTAATGGAATAAAGACAGTCTCTTCAGCAAATGGTGCTGGGAAAACTGGACAGCGAAATGCAGAAGAATGAACCTGGACTACTTTCTTACACCATACACAAAAATATACTCAAAATGGATGAAAGACCTAAACATAAGATAGGAAGCCATCAAAATCCTAGTGGAGAAAACAGGCAACCCCTTTGACCTCAGCTGCAGCAACGTCTTACTTGACACATCTCCGGAGGCAAGGGAAACAAAAGCAAAAATGAACTATTGGGACCTCATCAAGATAAAAAGCTTCTGCACAGCAAAGGAAACAATCAGCAAAACTAAACAGCAACGATGGAATGGGAGAAGATATTTGCAAATGAATATCAGATAAAGGGTTATTACCCAAAATCTATATGAGAACTTATCAAACTCAACACCCAACACACAAATAATCCAGTGAAGAAATGGGCAAAAGACATGAACAGACACTTCTCCAAAGAAGACACCTAAATGACTAACAGACACATGAAAAAATGCTCAACATCACTCATAATCAGGGTAATACAAATCAAAACCACAATGAGATGCCACCTCACACACGTCAGAATGGCTAGCATTAACAACTCAGGCAATAACAGATTTTGGTGAGGATGTGGAGAAATGAACCATTTGCACTGTTGGTGAGAGGGCAAACTGGTGCAGCCACTCTAGAAAACAGTATGGAGGTTCCTCAAAAAATTAGAAATAGAACTATCCTACAACCCAGCAATTACACTGCTAAGTATTTATCCAAAGGGTACAGGAGTGCTGATTCAAAGTGGCACATGCACCCCAATATTTATAGCAGTACTATCAACAATAGCCAAAGTATGGAAAGAGCCCAAATGTCCATTGATAGATGAATGGATAAAGAAGATGTGGTACACACACACACACACACACACACACACACAGGAATATTACTTGGCAATCAAAAAGAATGAAATCTTGCCACTTGCAACAACGTGGATGAAACTAGAGTATATTATGCTAAGCGAAATAAGTCAGTCAGGAAGACAAATATCATATGATTTCACTCATAAGTGGAATTTAAGATATAAAACAGATGAACATAAGGGAAGGGAAGCAAAAATAATATAAAAACAGAGAGAGAGACAAACCATAAGAGACTCCTAAATACAGAGAACAAAGTGAGGGTTGCTGGCAGGATGTTGGGTGGGGGGATGGGCTACATGGATGAGAGGCATTAAGGAGGACACTTGTTGGGATGAGCACTGGGTATTATATGCAAGTGAGGAATCACTAAATTCTATTCCTGAAATCATTACAGTATATGTTAACTAAATTGTATTTAAATTTAAAAACTCTGTAAAGTAATGGTGTAAAATCAAGTTGATATATATGTGTGAGTTTGTATATGTATATGTATACGTATGTTCATACTTATGCAGAACTCTAGATTTTTTTCTTGTTAGCATAAAATTTAAATTTTCATGAAGAGATATGCCACTTCTTGGACTTATTTGATGGTAGAATTCCTTCCCACTTTTTTTCTCAGAATACTAATTTGTGTCTAGAACAGGGGTAGGTAAATTTTTCTGTAAGGCCTAAATAATAAATATCTTAGGCTATATAGGTCATACAGTCTCTGTTCCAATTACTGAACTCTTCACATAATATGAAAATAGCCACTGATTGTATGTAAATTAATAGGCATAAACGATTACGTTTCAGTAAAACTGTATTTACAAAAC